AGAAACTAACTCAAGTTAGAGGGTGAGTGGGGTACACAGCTCTCAGCAGAATGGCAGCCAAAGCTCTTGGATTGGTCAGGGTGCACACACAGACAGTCTAGCACTTTGTGATAATATTTGCACAAGGCAATCAGTATCTGTTTAATGAAGGATCTAAAAAGATTTACACAAATGATTGATTCCTGCAGAGACGATTTATTGAGTGATAATTCAAATCATCTTGCCCCACCTGATTTTATTACCTACTCATAATGGGGAAAAAAGCCCCTCACATTACAAGTGCACGAGGTCCATTAAACCTGATTTATATTCTTAACCACACTGCAAGACAGACAGAAACAAATCATACCTTTTTTTTCCATGGAATGTTGTTAAGAGTGTGTGTACTAAGATATTTTTCTTCTTCCACTAGTCTGGCGCATCTGTACAACTTTGCTGCCATCTGCTGCCTTCGAAAGAAAAATAAATCACTCTCATTTAAAATTATTGCTGTATGTCAAAGTGGCACACTGCTGCTGCCAGCAGGGAGGCCTGCTTTTAAAACATTTTTATATCTGCCCTGGGCTAGTTACTCACTATGTTGAGTAAGGCAGAGACTCAAATTTTTCATTTCTCCTGGGCTTTACTCAGAAAATGCAGGAACAGCACAATACCTTTACATATTCTTAAGAGATGGAGAAAGGAAACTATTCTACTCTTTCTGTTGTTCTAAGTAAACTCAGGGGTTACACTTTGCCAACTGGATGCTTCTTCTATCCTGATACCACTTTTGCCACTGTGGGCTACCAGGAAATAGTGAACACAGCAGCATTTTCTGAGAAAATAATGTTCTCAAGGTGTGACATGAAGGGATCAAAAGAGAACACTGGCTCTTGTGTGTTAGAGGAATTACTTATTTACTGATGAGTAAAGAAGGCCAAAGTTAGAAAGACCAGTACCACCTTTTCAGGAGAAGTTATGACTGGAGAGATGTAACATGCTCTTCATTTCTAGGCAGAGAGCTTTTTAAAAGGCAGGGATCAGAACAGTGTGATGAATCAGACTGACCTGTTTCTCCCATTTATCCAAATAAGGCATAAACAAAGCACCACCTTAGCAGGAGTTAGGTGTGAGCTGTCAGCTTTTACCGTCACAGAACTGACGCTGTTCCTCTGTTACAAACAGAAGGGACTATTTTCTGCAATGACATTTTTATACTGGATTGAAATCACAGTTGTATTTGCTCTGATATAGTTATGCAAGTTATATATACTTAGTATAATACAAGTATTTTAATAAATAACCCGCTGCAAAGTGGTTTTATTATAACACATAATCCAACAACACTTACACAAGAAGGAAGTAGTATATTTGGTATGAAAGGCTTCTTCAGATTCTACATGAGGAAGTTAAAGACAGCAGAGATGACTTGTAAAAGATTGTAAAGTTCTCTTGGCTTATATGAAGGATTTTTAAAATTTTATTTTTAATCCTGAGTAACCCAAACAGACATCAAAAAATGACCCATCAAAATATTTCTTTTCATCTCTATGACTGTAGAGTTTCTTCAAAAAAATATATACTGCATGATGCCCATGCACAACATTCAGCCCTTTATTCATAATGGGATTGAAACAGCTGAAATGGTACACGTTTTATTTACCTCTGGTTTGGAATCAGTGCTGGTTATATTTACTCTATACTGGGTATCCAGTGATTCACTAGTTGGCTGATTTATCCCACCCAGCTTACATATTACATACTCTATTATGAATGGTTACAAATATGAAAATGGAAATTTGTATAAATGGGGCACACTTGGAGCATGGACCTTCAGCCAGGAAGTTACTTCAGCCTATGTCTTTGCTTCCTTGTCTCAGGACAGACATCATCCATGTTCCCATGCCAGAAAAGCAGCTTCTCTCTACTCAAATCTTTAAGGCTACATGTAAGGCTGCAAATAAGGTGAAGCACTGCAGGCAGCTAGTGGCAGTTCAGGCAGAGAAGTGGGAGGCAGGACTAATGAACAGGCTAACACAACAGGAACAGTAGGGAACCACTACCCAATAGATGGATGCACACACACAAATACAGATCATGGAAGCACAGAAATGCATACATGTAAACACACCTACCCCAGTAACGCGCACTGAAAGACTGACAGAAAAAGGCTTGAGAAACTTAGGCTTACTGTTACCCACAGGGCACGTCACTAGTAATAACCATACAGTTGACAGACGCAGAAGGACAGGAATCAAAGCTAGGCAAAGCTGGTTGCCTAGAGAAGCTGTGGCTGCCCCATCCCTGGCAGTGTTCAAGGCCAGGTAGGGTAAGGCTTGGAGCAACCTGGTCTAGTGGAAGCTGTCCCTGCCCATGGCAAGTGATTGGAACTAGATAAGCTTTAAGGTCTTTTCAAACCCAAACCATTCTATGATTCTGTGATTCTGTGATTTAACGATTGATTGTATGATTCTATGATTCTATTACCTGCCCTCTTCTACCAAAGGCTGTTTAGGAGGCAGGTCTCTGAGTGAACAAGCTCAGTGAGAATCTAAAGAGCAGCATAGAACAGCAGTGCACCCTTGCTACAGTCTTGAAACAAAGGCTTGTGCAAAATCTAGTCTAAACAGTCCTTATACTGCACAAATATGTGCTAGGGGATGCCAGAAACAGTAAGTCTTATATAGATGGATGTTTGAAAAGGGCTTCAAAATGGTATTTCAGATTCTGTTCAGATCTGGTTTTGGCTTCCAGTTAGGATTCCATTCTGCTTTCCAGTTAAAAACACAGCAGTTTGAAGCCTTTAGCCACTGAATTAGTCTGGATTTTAATTCTGCCAGTTCTTGAGTTTTCAAAGTAAATGTGACTGAAGGGAAAGAAAAAGAAAGAAATATCTATAACAGAGAAAGGGACTGGAAAAGCCCAGTCCTTTTAAAAAGAGAATAGATGCTGCAGGCCAAATCAGAGATGCGGAGGGAGGGAAGTTACCTTCTGGCCCAATGTCCAGCAGAAGCCAGAAGTCAGGATGTTGCACATCATCAGGAAGGTTACTGAGCATGTGACAGAGGGGTCAGTCTGGCACTGTACAAAACATCGGTGCACCTCCACCTTGAGTTCAGCACACAGTTCTGATCTCTACATTGCATGGAGGACAGAGAATCAATCTACAGAGGGCAAAAAGAAGAGTACTTAAAAGGGTCAAGGGCATGGAGTGGCTGCTTTCTGTGGAGAGACGAAAAAGGTTAGAAATATTCCACTTGGGCAGGTGGAGTCTGAGGAATGTTCTAGGTTTACAAAATAATTAAGATGGTGGATAAAGTAATCACAGAAGTGCCATTCAGCAGATTCTGCAATATTCAACTGGGGTGGGCACTCACTGAAACTGGCCTAGACAGATTACTGCTCTAACCCAGTCAGGTGTTTTTAATGCTATTGTGAATAAAGCTTCTGTGTTGAGAATCCCCTCCATGCACTTCATTGCACTATATTGGGAATATGAATGGTGCCAGTGCTGCAGCAGATGACTGAAAAACTGCCTAATGAGAGCATATAGGTATAGAAACACACTTCTACACAGTAAGAGATACCAACAGGATTGTTCAACCTATGTGTCCACACACCCTCCAGCAGCAGCTTGAAACTCTCTGGGACAGTAAGGTTAGAAGAGACTTAACTCTTCTCTGTGAGGCCTTTGAGTGTACATAACAAAAAAGAAAGACTCACAAAACCTATAGACACAAGCAGAAGGGCCAGTAAATATAATTACTATCACAAATAGTTGGGAGGGTTATAGAAGCAACTGACCAGTTCAACTACCTCAAGGGTGCTGCAGAATGGAATAAAACATATTAATGGAAATTGTGTTAACCATGTTCTGCTTTCTCTTAATTGCCTGGTTATGAACAGTGTTTTAATGCTTTTCTTCTTGCCAACCACTGTAGCAAAAGAGAGACCACTTCTTTTGACCAGTAAAGAAAGGTCTGTGTATAACTGAACTGAATAATATACAATAAAAGAAAAAATGCATGGGTAAGAAGCTTGTTCTTGGCTTCCATATGTCTTGCATATTTTTGAAGTCACAAGTTCTTGTTGATTAAGGAGTTTCACTTTTACCCTGCTTTCTCACCAGTCTCTGCTGATGAGGGATGAATAGGGAAAATGCTGACCTTTCTCTGTATGTTCCATTTAATAAATACAAATAACACTTTCTTGTATTTGTGCCCAGTTTGGATAAAACACAGTCTGATAGATACTGTATCCCAGATGTTACATCTGATAATTAGGCAGCTTTAAAATATAACATAGCTAAATGTCATTAAACCCACTAAAATAAAATTAAACCTTCATCCCTATCATGTTGGCTGGTTTGTTGTTTTTTTTTTTTATTGCAGGAAAACACAAGTTTTGCCTTGAAAAGGTCAGTTTAAAGAAGCAGCATGATGATTTAGAGGAAGGTATCTTTAAATTCTAACTTGTCTGTGTTAAACGCTTTGCAATAAACTGCTCATCAGTTGCTTATCGTAGGCAAAACCATCAGCTGGTAAGCTCTGCTGCTTTTGTGTATTCTGACACACTTCAAGTATGAACCAGAAAATCCAGGCGAGAGATAATATATGTGATCACATGACTTGTTATCTTAAATGGTTTCATATGTGGCATTTGCTCTAGTTATTTGACATGACTCAAGTTGACCTCATTGTTTGTATGCTTGAAAGGGAGCAATTATGCAACAACTATATGGTATGGAAGACAGCAATGCCATACAAGACAGAAAAGAAACTAGGAATGCAATCTCTACCAAACTATCAAAATATCTTACACTAACATAGTACATTTTCTCTGTATGATCGTTTATTATAGAACAATGAAAAAGCCAACATTCATGCTGGTAAATCTGGGTTAATCAAGATATCTTGTTCTTGGAACCTAAAATTTTCGTGGTTCTCATATCAAAACCTGATTATTTTCAGGAAAGTTTTATGCTTGCCAGAATAACAAAATTCAAATAATTGAAGCAGATGACAGTGGCATTAAAAATAGCATTTTATGACAATGCTGTCAAATGATAGCATACATAAATTGATGCATATGTATCTTCAGTTATAAAATCTTTGTATATACTTGATGTTAGTTTGGCAACATCTTAAGGAAAATGTCAAAGCAAGTACATCTTTAGTTTTATCAATGGTTTCTAAAAAATACTAATGAAATAACATTAATTAAATCTGAACAAGACATAAATGTAGGTAGTTAGGGTCTGGCGATCGGAAGATGTCGCGCTGTACGGAAAGATAAGACCCCCCCTCTGAGTAGCCAATAGGGCCTAACCTAGGTCGTAAGCAGACGGACGTGACGTTGTAAACCCAGGCTATATAACACCGTGTTACTCGCCAATAAACGCCATTTGCCATCCACCACATTGGTGTCAGTGAGCTGATGGACTGAGCGGCCAGGGATTGGTCGTTGTGTCCTTCCTGAACCAGGTCGCCACGCCAACAAAGGCAACACATAAACACTATAACTTCTTGGTACTGACTTCTTCTTGCAGAAGCATTTGTATTAACAAGTTAGAAAATGGAAGAGGGAACAGTCCTGGAAAATTCACCGGTAACTATTTTATCTGATTTTTAAGCTCTTTATTTCCTGGCACCTATTTCAAGTTTTTGTAAGTGAAAACATGTAGTATCTTACGAAACTGCAAGGTGCCCTCTGCAAACCTTTTTGCGAGATTTCAAACACCTGAAAGTCTTTACAGAGGGTTTTATTGAGCAGAGGTTACAAGACAAAAACCTTCTGTAGTTCTGGAGCCTCTGACTCCAATCTCATCTTATCAAATGTCAGTAGCTGAGTGACTGAATGGACAACAACCAGGTGAACCAGCACAGCAGGCAGTGTGCTCATGCTTCAGCAGGGTGAGCACTTTCTGCCGATTCCATAATAAACCAACTTCATATGGGTGGCAACAGGATACTTGAGGTACTTTAAGACAATGTTAAACCATTACATAATTAAAGAGTTTATTAGTTATTCTGTACTGAGTCCAACATCCTGACTAAAGCCCACACCTGAGGAACTGCATGCTGTGTGCTGTATTCCCTAGTTCTTCCTCTTATTTCAGTAGTTATTATTCCCCATTCTACAGGTCTCTGATGATGTTAGGCATGTGTCAGGGAAGTGCTCCAATGAAGTACTAGAGGAAGGAAACTTCAGAAAAAATAGTAAATGTCTTTGGCTATCACAGAAATGCCTAATTGACAATGTTTGCTGGTTTGCTACCTAATGCAATAAGCTGTCTTTGTCCTACTAGTAGGAATGTTGATGCACATTGATTGGACAAGACCCTAGGGAGCATGACCAAGTGTTCTTTTGGAGCATGGAGGCTACTGATGCCAGCTCTGAGGGAGGCAGGCATCGATGCCTGAGGATTTATTAAGTTTTCCTCAGATGCCTAATCTTGCCTCCAGATACTGTGTTTCTTTCAGCATGTGAGTAGAAAGATCAGTTTTAATTAGCATGACTCTAAAGCTGACCAAAGCAAATACCAATTACTGGCAGTCAGCATGGTGATTACAGGTACCTCAGACACATTGCAACAGAAGAGAGGTTGTTCTGTTTATGTGTTAGCAGTAGATGGCAAAGAAAAGCAAACATTACGATTTAGCTCACAGGGTCAGAATCAAGAGGAGAAAAAATATTTTTGTTTACCATGATATATTCAGTGTTTTATTCTGGTTTTATTGGGACTTCTCTCAAATATTTAGTGTTGCAGACATGAGAGAGAAAAGTAAATGGATCAGATGGCTGATCAGAGTGCTTTTGACCCCCGGACAGCTGGGGTGGAACTGTACCAAACTGAAGTTTTCAGGCCATGGCATAACCTTAGAGCTTTCTGTTTTGTTCAGTGCAGTCAGGTAATAACTGTGCTCAGTCATATCTCTCTCAGCTGCTCATTCCCAGCCTGAAAGTGATACTGCACTTTGGAAGCACAGCATTTCCCACTGAGCCCAAAAGCCCACCTGACAGTGTTATCCTGAGCCAAAAGGCAAGTACAGTCCCAGACACGCACTGTCAGCTTTTTTAATTAAACAGCATTCAGCCTCCTAGTGCTCGCTCTTTGCAGCAGCCATGAGTGGAGTATCAACACTTGTTGCACATTTGTAGCACTCATTAGCCCAGGTGTTCCTCCTAAGATCACTGCTATGACACAGTCCATTCCTTGCTGTATGTTTCTAAACTATTATCCCAAGCAGAATGCCTTGGGAAGGTAGTGGTTTTCCTGCATGTGTCTAGGTCATTCTGACCTAACCTCTTTCCTGTAATATTGCCAAACAACTGGCTAACTGCCAATGTGCTCAACATAGAATTTAAAATGCTATTAGAAAGATTACGGTCTATGTTTAGTCCAGATCTCCTCCAATTCAAACTGTCATGAAAATGCCTGGAATTTTTAAATATTGCTTGTACTGTGTAGAGATAGAGTAGGATTTTTTTTTTCTGTCGACTCCTGTCTGAAAAGCTCCTCCTATCTCTAAGTTATTTTCATCCATGTCTAACATGGAAGATTTTTGAAACAGCAGTTAGCTAAAAACGGAAACTGACATAAAAATGTATGCCAGCTTTCCAAATGCTAAATTGCAATTATTCGCTTGCTTCACTGTCACCTAAGGAGAATTTGGCTACACAAATAACCTAAAAATAGAAATATTAATCTGCAATACAACTGCACTTGACTAAATATTTAAGTAATTACAGAATTAGAAACCTCATACTGTATAATGGCACAATCTGTAAACTTGTGGGGACATCTCTCTCTAGGCCTTACTAAGGTAAATTACCTCCTTTAGCAACACCCTACTCTTCCTGGGCTTGGAGACAGAATGTTTTGGTTTTTTTTTTTTTTTTTTTCCTGTATTACTGTATACAGGACACTCATTTTGTAAAGGAGTAGGACTCACTGGGCAAGGAAATGGTTACCACTAATTATATTACGGTGAGAATGGGAAACAAGGATACTCTGGTGACTATGGGAGCCAAGTGGATGCAAAGAGGCTACATTTAATGGATTATGTCATCTCCTCCAAGGAGCAATCTCTGGTCCCTGAGCCAAGCAGTTTGATGTTGTTCATGCCCATTCTGCTACGTTGTCATGCAGAGTGCTTGCCTATGTCTGTGCTGACAGCTAGGGTGTGGTTGCAGAACTGGGACTATCTGGATTACAACCAGCCAGGGTTCAGTTTCTAAATGAGAACATGGTTGACTCCAAAACAAGAAGAGCTAGGAGGGGTCAAAACATGAAGAGTGGACATTGGGAGCAGATAGGCAAAGAGAATGAGACAGGACAGACATAATGCAGCTCAGAGAAAGTATGGTACACAAGTCAATTCTCACGGGAGAAACCCAGGAATTCATTAATCCATAGGGAAACACGGTGTGTTGTATACTCTTCTACAGAAGAGCAACACAGGTTCCTCATGCATGCTGTGGTTTAAGCCCAGCCAGTAACTCAGAACCATGTAGCCACTTGCTCACTCCCTGCCGCCTTTTCTCCCCCAGCTCTCGGAGGGATGGGGAGGAGAATAGAAAGAATGTAACTGTGACTGGCTGAGATAAGAACAGTCCAGTAACTGAGGTATAACACAAACCACTGCTGCTACCACCAATAATAATAATGATAAGGGAAATAACAAGCGAAGAGAGTACAACCGCTCACTACCTGCTGATCGATACCCAGCCTGACTGAGCAGTGATCGAGCCCTTCTGGGTAACTGCCCCCAGTTTATATACTGGGCATGACGTGTTGCGGTATGGAATACCTCTTTGGCTAGTTTGCGTCAGGTGTCCTGTCTCTGCTTTCTCCCGGCTTCCCCTCCTCCCTGGCAGAGCATGAGAATCAAAAAGTCCTTGGTTAGAGTAAACATTACTGAGCAGCAACTAAAAACATCGGTGTTATCAGTGCTGTTCCCAGGCTGAAAGTCAAAAGCACAGCACTGCACCAGGTACTAAGGAGAAAAATGACTGCTACTACTGAACCCAGGACAGTACAATAAAAGTTATACAGAAAAATAAATGTGCATAATAGCATATATTATGTATAACAGTGCCTAATCCAAAAGATCTAAGAAGTAATTAAGAGATGACATACCTGGCTAAAGATACCTTTTATTGCTACAAGAAGTTATAAAATGTATAGAAAACCAGAATATCACAACACTTAATATTAAAATTTATTTACATATGGACTTCACTGTAAGTTTGTGGAATATTCAGTTGGAGGCATAAATGTCAATTTTCATTTGTTTACTGTCTAAGAACAGTACCTGTGCCTTAAGAGTGGATTTCCAAAGGTCAGTTGCTCGGAACTGACTTTTGAATATTCTAAAGGAAATCTGCATGTTTGTGCAGGTGTTGCTGTTCAGCTTTGGAAAAAGCTGTCTGGAAGTTTAAGAAAATGATAAATGCATCAAGTTAGAACCTTTTTCCTGCTACCTCTTGTAAGAACCTGTAGTCTGTCTGAACTCATGTTTTTCTTCAGCAAATCTGCAAATAATTTTAAAGGAAACAAAAATATTGTTTTAAGGTTCCAGGGCTCTCTGTTTCTATTATTTTGGTTACTTTCCCTCTATATACAATTCTTAAAAATATGCATATATACATGGTTAAAGAGGTTAGGTGGTGCATACAGATATACCCTCACTTGGACAGAAGACTTTAAAATTCAAAATGCCTTGAAAGGCAAAATACCTTGAAAGGTAAGAGAGAGAGAACAGTTCATAAAGACTGTTACATGTTACAACAGAGAATGTTCTTTTTAAAAGTTATAGGCTTATGGTTTATCTTGTGAGTTCAACAAAATTAACCAAATGGAGGTCCCACAATATTCAATCCACAGTATTCAATTTTTGTCCAGAAAGGTGTCTTTTCCTTCCCCATGTGTCTCTCTTTTTCTGCATGTGCCATTTGATGGATCCCTTGTCTGTCTTTCTGGTTACAAGAAGGCACTGAAAAAAATACAGATAATACAGAGAAGGACTTCCTGGTCCTACTGCAATATCAAGGCACACTTTAGCCTTCATCAGCTATGGCAGGGAAGAGGCAAAACCTTCACTTCACCTGAAGATCTGTAATCACAGCTCCACTTGTCACTGGCCACTGGAAAAAGGCCATGGCTGATACTCTTTTCTTCAGGCAGCACCGCAGTTTATCTCCCAGCATTTTGCCAGGATAGACATTTTTACTGAAGCAGTAAAGAGTAACGTTTATTGCCTGTAAGCACCTTTCAGTAACATGCTTTCAGTTAGGCAAAAACGTATGAGGGAGGAGGTGGGTTTTCAGGGGCTGTCAAAGAAGGCAAGACAAGCCACCCCTTCCTGTGGTTCTGCTGACATGCTTAAGTCCTGATTCTAAAAGCTCTGCAGGAAACAATGAGACAGAAACCAGTTTCTTCTGGTAGAGAGCAGTTAACCTTTGGAATTCTAGCTTGTATATTACAGCATAGGCTTTGACTAGTAAGGTACTTTGAGGGAATCTTTGTGAACACTGACACAATGCAGTCGGTTAGCTGTCTGCAGCAGCAGCACACTCTTCTTGGCTGTGTACTAGACATCTCCTCTGGGCCCCTGAAGCAGCAGCTCAGCTCTCTCTGTGTTCCTCTAGTTGCAGATACACAGCTTGCCACTAGTCAGTGCTTCTGGCAAGGAACTGTTATGCTT